GTGTACATGTGGTGTATGTGTGGTGTATTTGTGGTATACGTATTATGTACAAGGGTGTACGTGTTATGTACATGGGTGTACTTGTGGTGTACAGTGGCGTACGTGTTATATACAGGAGTGTACGTGTGTTGTGCATAGGCGCGTGTGTGAGATGCAGTGGTGTACGTGTAGGTGCATGGGTGTCGCACTGCACTGGCATGCACTGCAATCTAACCTAACCTGCACACACATTTTTTTTGCATAAAAATAGATTTTGATACACGGAGAATAAATTCATTGAAAAAAACAGCATGCACATAAAAATATTATATTAGCTTTATTACTTGGGTCTTAGATATTGAGACATATTTCCCTTAGCTATTATCTATCAATTAGATAATAGCAAGAAGATACCAAGTTATTATCTGTTAATCCCTTCAAAAAAGATAGGTATGTATTTTTATAAATGAGTAATTAGAAATAATAATTTGGCAGTAACATGTGGTTTGATTTGTGAACAAATGAGGTCTGCTCTGTCTGCCGTCGAGTGGGTCATGATCTGCGGCCTGGACAGGGTGTGATATCACAGCAGAAAATTTTTCAAGTAAACTTTTGGTTTTAAAATAAAAGCCGGAGGATGGGCAGCAGGTTGAACAATTACAAAATATAGTTTTTTTTAAACCCCGGTATATAAGGCTCGGTGAGGATTGAACTTTTGAAGAAGTTCAGCGAAATAAGATTCGTTCAAACGGTTCAGTGAGAACCAATTTTTTCAAACAGTTCAGCGAGAACAGAATTTTTGCACGGTTCGGCACGAACCGTTTTGTTTCAACGGTTCAGCGAGAACTTTTTAACGGAAATTTCGAACATTAAACAGACGCCGAAAGTTTGGTATACTCAAACATCGTCTGCCCGGTGCACCACAAACATCGTCTGCCCGGTGCACCACAAACATCGTCTGCCCGGTGCACCACAAACATCGTCTGCCCGGTGCACAGCATTTTTTGCGTGGTGTACAACACCGCCAGCGTTTCATGTCATTAGAAGTTCACGACGTCCATAGCAACGCTGATGCGCCACCTTCGTCGTCCACCACTGGAGCCCAAGAATTACTGATGTAGAACATAACAAACGGGCATCTTGCATCAACTGTGCAAGCTGACGCAAGATACTGTTACTTGTTTCTGTTAGTAGTGGGCAGAGATGTACGATTTGGGATTGTGCTACAAAACGTATCATGTCTTCAGTTTCAAATCTCAAGGGTGAACTTCCCTCCCTCTCAATTGGCTAGGCATTGAACAGCCTCAATCCTGGGATCCTTCTCGACGAGTCTGGACTCGGGCCACACCTCGCTTGTTTTATAAGCGTTCTGCAGTCTTCACACTTTCTCGCTGTAAAATATCACAATTTCGAAGGTCTCGCTTCCTAATTTATGGATATCAGGTTATTATATCGCGAACTTACAGAATAAGATACCTCTTGATTCTCAAATGCGAGTACACTTCTAAGTGCGTCAGCCGCTGCCAAGGGTCCACAGCTCCGCATCCCGCTGATTCTTGACGTGAATTTCCGCTAGTTTGCCTCCAATTTTTGCACCAAAGCTTGCAGCAGTACTCCAGAATAGTAAGCAGCAGGGGTTTAAAAATAGAGCAATTGTCGGCACCGATTTCCTCCTTTTAAATGTCCGCCACAACAACTCCCGTCTGTCACTTGTCTCTTTCAGCGAAGGTCGCTGTTTGGTCCCCAAACGTGGCTAGGATACCCATAAACACTAAGGACGAGTCGCGAACAAGTTGATTCTTTTTAATTTCTGTACAGTTCAAGTAGCCATTCACAACCTCGAAACCTGCATTAGTTCTTTGTGTCAGTACTTTTTGGTGCTGTTCAATTGCATGTTGTTCACTTCGGCCGTCAGTCGTAGATTATGGATAACTGTCCCGGCAGTTCGTCTGTAATCCTCATCCATGCACTTGCATCGTCCGGAAATGATGCTGGAGATGCGAGGGCCAGTTCTAAATATCGGTGCGCGATGTGGATGAGAAAGAGGATAGGCCTATGCACGAAACCCAGTGGCATTTCGCTTTTTACTCTGGGGTAGCTCGATTTAGTGTCTATTTGCAACAGCGTGTAGACAAATTTCAGCCGCTGGTACTCTGCCATTAAGTTGCGCATCTGCGTTAAAAACTTCCCTTCTATACCGTCAGAAGCCTTCGTTTTTAACAATGGCAACGTATTCAACTTGGATAAGAAGCTTTTGTAAAGTCTAAGAAGACCACGTCGGTGTCGCTATTTCCTACAGGAGACTGAGGAGAGCCAAAGTGTGGTTGTGGTGCTCCAGAAATTGTTACAAGCAAGAGTGATACCCCCGCAAACTGTTTAGTACTTTAGTTGTTATTAAAAGTTCAACCTCTTGCATATAATAGTCATGCAACGTGAGCTCAATTGCCTAGTGTTGTCGGGCTAGTCCCTGCCTCAACCCGCTAGAAGCGTTGTCTATTTGTTGGTTTTGTCACGTACGTTTTATCATAGGGATACGCCGGTTTGTCTTTGAATACAGCAACCTTTAGGGCCCGCTCTCTTTGACTTATAACGAAAACACACCTGCAAGTTTCTGCATACTGTAGCGCATTTCGCATCGATATTCTCTTCATGATACGCGAATCTCTAGTCGACTGTAGCGAGTTCATTCCCAGTCCGATGGTTTAGACTTTAGGCTTAAGCGCAATAGTCTCCTCGAGCGAACATCAACGACCATTTACTCATTCTTAGTAAATGATAGAATAATGATATTTTGTAACCCGGAAGGCGAAAAATTTCTTTGGCTAACCAGTTATTTCCCAGCAAAGTGCGCTAATCAAGCTTCGTGACTTCTAGCGCAGGTCAAACTCTGCATATCAAAGTCTCCCCCGAAAACTAAATTGGGGACGTGAGGTCTTCCAGTTGAGCTACCTTGGTCTTTAAAACCTCGAGTGTCTCGTTGAATTAAGCCAATGGACAAACAGTGGTCGACAGAAAATGGTATGCCGAGGTCGAGTTATTAAATGTGTAGTATAATAAGTCCCGTAAGATCACTAGAGTCCCACAAGGCCACTAGAGTCCCACAAGGCCACTAGAGTCCCACAAGGCCACTAGAGTCCCACAAGGCCACTAGAGTCCCAACTCAAGTCCACAGTGGTTACAGTGCGTGAGTTTCTGAGCTTAACTATAACTTTTCTTTCTCCTTCCATTTGGTCAGCGCTGGAAGATTAGAAACCTTGAATAGTATCAACTCCTCCATCCGCCATGATGAGCGGCTCAATACATCGTCTGAAAAATGACCCGGCCTCACTGTTTCCTAACAGAGTGAGGACTGTTCAGAAGTCAGAAGTTACCTTAGCTAGAAGTCCTAAAACTCATGTTCAAGTCTGGAAAAGTTCAGCTTTTTAACAGAATTTAGCGGCTACTAATTAGAGTTGCATTTTGAAACTCGATCATTACTTCAATAAAGCACGAGATATTTTGAGAAAAAAAAGCAAGTGAAAACTTTTTACGACGGATCACCCACGTACTCAATAAAATAAATTAGTTTCACTGGAATAGCACAAGAATAGAAAGTTTTCTATGCATAAAATAAGTGCACGCTGAAGAAAACTATGCTCGACCAGCAATGTCTGGGATACTATTTTATCGATAAAGTCTACAAAGATGCGCAACAAATTAGACGGCGAATTTCAAAATTACCCCGTAATATAAGAGAACACATTTAGCATTACAATTGAATTGAAAACAACTTAAACCATAAGAAAAATGCACGAAATTAAAACTTCAAAATTCAACAAATATTCGTAATTAACAAAGAAAAATTATGGTCGACTAGTCACCTGCGGCCAGTTCGCTCAACCCGAAACCAAACGAAGTTTCCGACGATTTATTCCAATTTTTTTTTAAGATTTGCAAGACAAACGCTGTCTCTTAAGAGACTTGTCTTGAGAACCTAATGAAAATTTTATTCGTTTTCACGACTTCTCAGGAGAAATTCAACGCGCGGCCGATAATAAAGGTTTGTTTCAACACGCCGGTCGAAGCCTCACAGCATGAAGCAGCGATTACCGCAACGGATATGAAGCGTTATTATTAACTTATAGCCGGGTAATGCAAACATGAAAGGTGGCTCATCTCGCGTCGCACTTAATGTCAAGTGTACGGTAATATAGAATATAGAAGTGTTGGCACTGAAGAAATAGGCCCATGGATTGTTGCCGAAAGCATATAAAGGCAGTCTTCAAGAAAACGAACTGTAACAAATGGTATCAAGAATAAAATCAGTCCAAGACGCTCTCGACACTTAGCTAGTCACGAAACCAATTCTGTCGCTATTGCGTACAGCTCCAAGCACAGCAACCAATAAATTAAGTTAACATCAATAACATTAATTTGTATAGTGCATAACATGAATGCAGTACTCACACGAGGAGAAGACAGCAGCCGCATTCGTTAGCACTCACCTCCTGTGGTAATTGATCAAGAAATTAATCAAGTGGACTCGCTAGCATAAACAGCCAAATAAAACTGCTTTATTGGCATATTTTATTCACTGCGCTGGTCTAAGGTTACGCAGAAATTAATCTTCCTAAGACATATCAACAATCCCTGAACTATGGATACTATGCAACTAAAAATTTTCTAATTTTGTCGAAGATTTTCAAACATAATCCTATATTATGCAATCAGACATGGCATCGCACATCAACAACAATAAACATTTCATTTCTTGCAGCGTACATATACATGAAGACGTGCAGTTTATTTAGACATCAATAAAGATCACGAGGCTGTTGGTCGTGCAAAAAGCATCTAGCCAAATGCTTTTTACGCCATCAATCGGAAACACTTGGTAATTTTGACTGTGTAGCGATACTTCAACTATTGATTCGTTACTTAGTTCATGCAAATATGATAATTAATCGGATGAGATACTTCAATAATACAATTGAAATAGCACTTAGATACACAAGTAAGACGAGGTATGTGCAGGAAACTCACCCTTGGTCGAGTCTGTCCATCGGGCCGCCCATCTGCATCATGGGGTGTGGGCCATGCATGTGGAGACCAGGGCCTCCGGGCCCAAAAGGCGTCCCACCGGGGCCAAAAGGACCTCCAGGCCCAGTAAAGCCAGGACCTGGACCCCCTGGGAAGGGACCATGTGCAGGACCGTGAGGCCCATTGTTCATTGGTCCCATAGGTCCCATGGGAGGCATGGGCCCTCCCATACCAGGACCTGGGCCATTCATGTGGGGACCAGTGGGACTACTGTAGGCCGAAGACCCGTGGTATGGCATGGCCCCAGGTATGGAGCCAGGAGCCATGCTGGTCGGAGGGCCACCTCCAGGGCCTTGTGGGAAAGGGGAAGGTCCCCCAGGTCCTGGGGTTGAGGCATTGGAAGGAGCAGGAGAGCCAGGAAAGGGACCAGAAGTGGGGCCAGATGTTGGTGGCCCCGAAAAGCTATTAGGAGGCGTGTTGAACAAATTTTGGGGCCCCAAAGGGCCCACAGGGAAAGATTGGTTGGATGGTGGCGCCTGTGGAGGGCCAGGAGAATGTGTGTTTGTGTGGGAGTGTCCCAATGCGTGTCCTAGGGAGGCAAGTATGGAGTGAGATGGTGAGGGGGACGAGTATGGCAGAGTAGCAGCCACTTGGCAGCTTGAGGCGACCACCACACCACTGCCGCTGTCTGACAGCGGCAGCTCACTGGGGGACGACAGCAGCGAGCAGCTCACAGATGATGGACCTGCAGCTGTCAACAGCTGCTGAGGAGAGGTAGGATGCAGCAGCTGTTGCTGCTGCTGAGGAGAGGGAGGTGGGTGCAGGGAAAGGTGGAGAGGAGGAGAACAATGTCCAGAAAAGGAGCCAAGATGGGAGTTTGCTAAGAGATGTTGAGGTGGGAGTCCTGAATGAGGGAGTTGTTGTTGCTGCTGCTGCTGCAGAAGTGATGCCTTCCAAGGGAGGAGAGGAAGGCCAGTGTGGTCGGAGTCGAGGGCAGAGGCTGCGCTGGATGGCAAGCCGGTGCGATCACACTCAGCCACGCAACGGAGCCTGCAATAATAAAACACAGTTAGTGTTGCACTGCAATAATCTTTTAGATAATTCAACACAAACCTTTGGCTCTTGCAACCAAATATCTAAAATCTTTTGAAAATATGCCCAGAAAATACTTTGAGCAACTGCCAAATACTCAAGAATTGAAATTTTTAACATAAATGAATTGAGAACAAATATCTACAAAAATGCTATTAATGTTGCTCCAAGACGAAGAAACTGAAGCACATATTCAATCAATCATATTTGTGAACATGAATTTCCCAATAAGATGACAACATTTTTCAAGATACTGTACCAAGCAGAGACGATTATATATAGTGCAGTATCTTCTTGTGGACAGAACATTAATATGAATAGTCTTGTTTAGAGCCATTGACCTTTTGACTGCTCACAAATCCATACAACATTCTGATGCAAAGTAAGCTGATAATAAGTCCACAAGTATGCAAAATTTATTAGCAGTCAGACTCTCATTTTGAAAAATTTGAAAACTTTATATAATAACGGTTACAAAAAGTTGACAGTAAAAGAGGAAAAGTATTGCACATAACCTTTTACCAAGTTTGTGGCTTGAATTTATCTTTTAAACTAATATATTCAAGAATTTATTCTCCTCTGACTCATGCACTTCCAAATCAACCTTTTTTCTGCACATATTGTTTGTCAAACAAATGTACCTATGCCAATACCTCCTAACAAGAAGAGCAAGTTCCATTCACACATGGAGGACTTAACACCAGTAAAAGGGCTGTAGAAATCATAAGGTCACAAATCTCTCAGATGTTGGCCTCATAATGCATCCTTTCTTCCCCGAAGCATGAGGGAGAAGAGATGATTAGCTTTTGGTAAAATCCAATAAGCTCCCTCCAACTACAGACCATTCACCAGTCCCCAGAAAATTGTTGTTTCTTATAAAGTCATAGATCAAGACTATGCATATGACTCAAAAATAAACTTGCAGTTCAAAGAATTATCTAATGGCTAAAAAAATTATCTCACAGCTCAAATACAAACTTTTTGCTTAAAAATGGAAACTGCTTTCAATTGAATTAATAAAAAAATGAACTCATGGCTTGAGAAATGAAAATGGTTACTTGGAAAATATTTTTCATGCTGCCAAACTCAATCAACTTGGTCAATCTGCTCCAAAAATCCAATTACAGCTTGGAAAGTAAGCATTTTCTGCAATAGATCTTGCTTGCGGCATTAAAGTAACAGAATGGCAAAGTTGCGGCAAGAATGTTTACAGATGTTCATGATATGTTTAAGAGGTATATAGGTAACTCATTAGCAGACTATGTTGCACTTCAAAAATTTAATCTTTCCTGCTATTGGAGCTCCTAAATTTGTGGCAAGTAAATAGGGCAGATTTTCTTTAGATGATCTGATACAAATTTAGATTATAGGGTAGGTAGATGATCCGGCAATTTAAGGAATGTCATATTTGTAGTTCTAAGAAAACCAAATGAAAAATGAATTTTCATACCAACATGATTCAACTACCAATGAATAATAATTCAACTGTAAAATCATTCAATTTGGGCAGCTGTTACACAAGCAGATATGACTGTTTATATTGCAGTCAATATTTCACCTGCAATTTGCAAGTTTACCTTCAGATCCCATCAATGATTGTTGACATACATGTACCTACCTCAGATAATTTCTGATGGTACTGCCACAGGCCTCATACCCCAGACAGAATGATGCGAAGTACACTTGTTTTCTGACATGAATAATAATGAGTAATTTATTATACAAATGTACTAGGTAAATTTGATAGTGCCCAAAATGGTCAAAATTGGAAGATTCATGAAGTAGCTCTAGGTGAGGGAGTAGCTTGACCAAATATATTATAATTTCTTGGTAAATTTTACAATTTGAAGAGTAATAAATTACTATATTCATAGTGGTGGCTGCATTTGATTTCTATTCCAAAGTATTTCAACCAAAGTATTTCTTAAGTAGTAGCTCATGGTGAATGGAATGAAACGAAAGATGGCGTTTATCCAAAAATCACGATTTTTGCAGGGCCTGTAGTGTTCATGGCTAGGCTTTGCCTATGGTGATGAAAATGCAAGCTTTTTGCTTCAGCAAGTAGTCACAACATGTTAGATTGTGAATTAAAACCAATCAACATGTGATTACCAGATCAGTAATTAAGCAGTTGCATTCAATCATTCAAAAACTGTTTATCAATTAGCTAGTGGTGTAGGGATAAAAAAAAAACAGTTTATTGCCCTGTTGTCAACATAGAGGTGCACATCAGCAATCCTCAATGCAAACTAGCATTGCGGCAAAGCATCAGCTTGACCGTAGACTACAAAGTCCTAAACTCATCACAAGGTCTATATATGTTCAAATCCTCAATTATTATACATAAATACTACAAGCAGTACATATGAGAAAACCAACCCAACCCAGAGATATCTTACCATGTGCCTCAATTTAACACAAGCTTATGGTATTAACTTATGAATAATAGAGTATAAGTTTGCAAGAAATGAGCAGATTTTTGATAGATGGGATGAGTCTTGTGATTTATGTACCTAAATATTCAACAAAGACTGGACCAAAGAGCAGTAGTACAGAAGTTGTTTGAGTTGCTTGAAGCTATGTATTGTAGGTAGAATTATGTTGCATATAGTTGCTCTGATGTTTGTTAGTTATCTAAACTCATTTCAGGGTTTCCACCTAACCCTATTTTCATATATTGAACAATCCCATGCACTACGGAATTGTCCCCTAATATTTGATTAATTTCAAGAGCAATAAGGGTAATGAATAAAACTTTAAATAACAGTCAGACATCAGCAGTTGCAATTTGGGCACATAGAACATTACAATAGTTGAGGACTTGACTGAAGGCCTGAGACACTAGATGCATTTAAACTGGGACTAACATTTCTAGCATTCTAGCATTTCTAAATAAATTTCATGCAACAATGCATTTTGAAATACACTGGTGACACTTCGGGCTTAAAAACCCAATACTGGCAACACATTGACCAAAGTTAGCACCTTGATGGGCACTGTTGACAGCAGCAGTCATTGAACATTTTTGCCACACTTCATAGATGGAAAAAAATGACAATATAAATTCCCATAACCAGCGTCATGCATATATCTTTCTGATTAAGGTTCCACAGGTGATTCACAAAAGTTGCAGGCAAAAAAAAATCATTTTCCACTTCATTCAAAAAAAAAAAAAAACAAGAGGCATAAAAATGGGTAAAATTGTCTGCAAGCACAGACATTTTTTGTCTCATTCTTGGGAGGCAGGGTGGAATTATAAACATGGTGGTTCATCTATTCATGATCAACCCAGTCTGGTAACTTGAACTGTTCCAAAATATTTTGGAATAAATTCAGCAAAATATAGAAGAAAAATCTGTCATCAGATTTTTAGCACCAACATGGTACAAGTGCTAATTAATATAGTATAGCCATTATAGCCAATATGTCGCCAGCCTTCATAAGAAAATCCAATTTGTTCAAAAATCTGAGTCACTAATTTCTGGCATGATTAAAAAGCTTCTTAGTTCTTATGTGCAAATTTAATCCTAAAAATCTTATGGCTAACCAGTATTAATTGGTTTAATGAAAAGGGGCAATAGAACCCCTAACCTTCACTTACTTTCTGGTGCACAATACCTTAGCCTAAATACCTCCCAAATGTACATCTTCATGTATTGCTAGTGAACAATTATAAAATTAGCTTTTTTCCAAGTACAAAGATCCTATTGCTGTTCTTATGCAATCGCATAGTTTATTGCAGTGCAATAAACTATGCAATCATCCATAGTTTTATAGTTGTGCACAGTGTGCATCTGTGTATGTTGCTATGACATCATGCAATTTTCATACTAGGCTTGCAGAGCATAGAGGCAGGAGTTATAGAACAGGGAACATGCATGCACATCTCCTTCATTCAGCCATATGTATGTATTCATGCCTAGCAATGCAATGTCCCAGTGTCCTTTATCCTCCACAACCAGTGTTTCTGACCTAAAAATTTTAGAATCATTATATATTTTTAAGCAGAAGCCCAGTTTAAATGCATCTTTCAGTTCCTATCCTCTACAAATTGTAAATAGATGGTACCTTCTGCTCATGTTTTTTCTTTAAGTTTGTTTTATTTTCAATTTTGGTTCTAATGTCATGTTTAGGTGAATTGTTTGAATGTGAATTTTAGGTTACCAATTGTTTGTACCTGTATTTTAGGTTTTGAACTGACAATGGAGCAGGACTCCAAAACGTTTTCTCTTATAAGAAGTGGTGAACTTTTTGGCTACTTTCTTTGCTTTTCAATTCCTGGTAGATTTGATCCAGACTGAGATATAAATGATGGAAAGTTATTTAAAATGTAAACATCTGTTACATACTATTTTTTTATGTTATGGCACAAATTTTTTTATATTGCCTTACTGACTTCACTTCAGATCCTAAATGATTTCATCTCCCATTGTGAATTTTGAATGTCTCCCTTCTTTTAGACGATGTTCAGAAACAAGAATTACTGCATTTTGGTAAATCAGAAAGGCAGGATTTTAAGAACTTGGGCATGTACCATTAATAAAAATGAGGTTACTAAAATTTATGCATATTTTAATATACCAGCAGTGATGCTTTTAAAATTTTAATCAGAAAACTGAAATAAAACTATTTTAAATTCATAATTTGATAGATGAATAATATTGACAATTTTCATAAATATGATGCAAAAATTATTGATCCATTATGAATATCAAAACATTATTTCAAAATGTTTCACAGTTTATAGTAACAGCACCTAGATGAGCGAACATGAAATGAGGTATTTGTAATTTTAATGCCCAACATTCAATGTGGTACAGTAACCAATAATTTGTAGAACAATCTCATTGTTGTACAAATTTTTTACATTGTTGTACATTGTTTTCTTAATTTATTTGCAAATTCCATGACTTTCCATAATCTGAAATGAAATCCCATGACTTTCCAGACTTGAAAAA